TGTATTGAATGCAGATGCAGTAGTTGAGTTCAAGGTTAAGCATTTCCTGGAAAAGTTACTTCGTATCCTCCCTCCTTCAAGTTTTTGAGTTTGTTGTCTGGTTGTAAAATAACTGTACAGTAGGTATCAGCAGTCCATAATATTGTTTATTTAATTATTTGTGATAAATTGTGTTAGGTATTATTAGAATTAGGCCAAAATTGGTTTAAAAAAGTAATGGCTAACCTGAATTCGAGAAATTTTTTTTTATTACATTTAATAGCATGGCCCCTCTCCGAGAGGCTGTCTGGACTTCTCTCTCTCCTAAAGGTTGACGACCCCTGCTCCTGATGCATTATGATTTACTAGTGAAATATGGCCAGTAAATGCCGTAGACTGGTGTTATATTTTTTCCTAGTCTTGTGTGAATGGTTAATACCTGCGGCCTGTTGGGTGCTAGCACCAAAAGGCTGCATGAACAGATGGTTGACAGGCAAGCCTAGGTTCAGGCTGGCTGAACAGATGGTTGGTAGGATAGCCTGGCTTTAGGCTGGGCTGCCAGGGTAGAATAACTCGAAATATTTTACAAGTATATCAGGACAAATTATATACGATAGTTTCCCCATTTGTGTGCATGTGGTTTTTCTTCATGTACACACGCACCTACCCAGCACACACACCCCAAAACACACACACCCCAAAACCACCACACACACACAACACACACAACACACACACACCACACCACACACACACACACCACACACACACACACCACAACACACACACACAACACACACAACACGTTTACTACAACCGAGGGAGGTTCACCTACATCACCTGAAATTTTACCGCATTGACCTATTATTTAAAACTATCTCAGAAATAATCACCTTTGTTAAAATTTTAGACACGATATAGAGTCAGGTTTATTAAGTAATATTTCCTTAAATTTGGGGAAATTTGACCGCCACGTGGCAGCCTAAAATTTTTTTTGTGATTTAGAGGAAAATTATTTCAGATTCTATTCGCTATTTGTGACATTTTTCTGAAATTTGCCCCGTAAAATATGTAGACTTATTTAGAAAAGATTACGTCTATGTGTTGGGTTTAATTTTTTATTTTTATTTTTAATTATTTTTATTTTAATATATTTTATATAATATATATAAAATCTTATATATATATATATAATATATAATATTTTTAAAATGTATGGTGTGTGTGTGTGTGTCCCGGGGGGCTTTGTACTCACCTATTTTAAACTAACCTAGTTGAGTTTCCCGGGGGTCGGGGCCAAGCCCCTGGCCCCGGGCCCTCTTCACTGGTCGCTACAAGGTCACTCCCCCGGGAACCAGGGGAGCTTTATCGTCCCTCTGCTTAAAGCTTGTATGGTCTGCCCCCACAAACATCTTTTCCCCAAACTTTCCACTTCCTGATTTACTCTGGGGCTGAAAAAAATACTTCCAAACCCCACCCCCTGTGATTCATCTGTGTCTTCAGTTTCCCAACGGTCCCCCTTTGGGTTACGTGTCCAATCTCTGGAAACCCCTGTCTTTGCCCACCTTGTAAATTCCTCTCAGTATTTTGAAAAGTCGTTATCTTGTCCCCCCTATCTCTGCTTTTTCTCCAGTGTCGCCCAGGGGGTTTTCCCCCTTAAAACCTCTCCCCCTTTGGGGGACATACCTCTTAGCTTGGGACTAGTCTTGTGGCAAAATTTGGGAAATTTTTTTAGTTTTTTTACATGTTGGTTTGGTTTTGGGTTTTCCAAACTGGTCCCCGGCTTACCCCAATTTTTGGCCCCTTTCGTCCCAGGGTTTGTACGGGGGGCCTAAACAAATCCTTTTTTAAGATGTCGGGAATGCGTTCTGGGGGTTTTGCTATGCGCCCATATTGCTGCACCCAGCTTTTTGGGGTTGTGTGCGCTTCGTTGTGCCGGGGTGTTTTTACCCCCCCAAAGGGATCTTTTTCCTTGGTGAGGTTTGTAGTCTCCCCCCCCCTAGACTGAACTCCGTTTGCGGTCTTCTTTGCCCTTTCCCAATCTTCAGGGCCCTTTGCCCCCTTGGGGGGGATTAAAAACTCCAGGACCCCATTTTGCTGGACCGGGTCGGGCAGCCTTTTCCAGTTTTCCCTTTTTTGTTCTCCCTGGTCTTCGATCGAGTAAAATTCTTTTTCATAAACTTCAGGGTCACCCTGAAAAAACGGGACCCCTCAGAGTCTATTCCTTCCGTCATGTCGTTCAAAAAATTCCAAAAAAAAAGCACGGGGTTCCTGGGGACTCCCCCCCGTGGGACCCCGTGGTCAAAAGGTGCCCATTTTGCCCCACCCGCCACGTACCTTACTCGCTTGCTTTATTGAAAAATTTTCCCCTGATCCATTGTAGTCCCTTTCCCCTTGTTATCCCTGCTTGGCCCTCCAGTTTTTTCATTTAATCTTTTGTGGGGTACTGGTAAAAACCCCTTCTTGCAGCCCAAAGAAATGCAATCCCCAAAACCCTCTCTCTTTGTTTTAAATGCTTTTCCCCTTTGTAAAGAAAAAGGGGACACAAGTGCAACAAATTGTGACATTTATTGTGGCAACGTTTCGTTCCGGGAGTTTTATAACCATAAAAAAAAAATACTTGGACCGAGGGAAGAAAGGTCAGAGTGAGGTAAATTACTAGTGAGGTCCCCATTTCGTTGTTCACTAGTGGTGTGTAGTATTTATTTGGTAGTGACAAAAAGTAATACAATAGGGTTTGAGCAATTAAATTTGTAAAATGGTAATAGGATATAAAAAAATATTACTTTGGGGAACATAAAATAGGTTGGACAAAAAATAGACTGGAATGGGCAGCTTGTTTTTAGTGTTCACTCTCTGTGCTTTGTGTTGTATAACAGGGGGAGACTATGTGTTTTACACAAAGCACAAGGGGAAATGAACAAATTTTAAAAAAAGCTGCCTCATTCCAGTCTTTTTATTTGTTCCCCCCTTTTTTTTGTTACCCAATTTAAAAGCTTTTATATCCTTTTTTCTCATGTTCCCAAATTTAAAGTGCCTCCATAAAGGGTTTTTTAAATTTTGTCACTAACCCAAATTACTACTACTTTCTATTTCTACTAACCCCTAGTGGAAAAATCGAAAAGGTACCTCACTAGGGGGTTTTTACCTTCCCCCTGGCCCTTTTTATTTCCCTCCTTTTGTCCATGTTTTTGTTTTTGGGAATGGCTTGATTTAAAAAGCCCCCTTGGGGAGCGAAACGTTTTGGTTCCCCAAAATTTTTAAAGTCACCCTTTGTTGCACTTTTGTTTCCCTTTTTCTTTTCATATTGTCGGGTTTAAATTTTACCCAAAATTTATTAAATGCGTCAAAACCCTTGGGAATTTTGAAACTTCCAGGGAGGTTTGTGGGGCACAGGGATTTCCCGGGCCCTGAAACCCTGGTTTGGGTTTCTTGGGTTTATGAGATCATTTCCCTTTTTAGGTTTTTCCAACCCCTCTTTCCTGGGTTAAACTTCCCCCATGATTTTTTTGGGTTCCCCGATAACCTTTTCAAATGGGCAAAAAGGTTGTAGCCCTTTGTGATTCCCTGTTCGGGGTTTTTCCCCTTTTTTTTTTTTTTTTTTTTTTTTTTTTTTTTTTTTTTTTTTTTTTTTTTTGGGTGTGTGTGTGTGGTGTGTGTGTGGGTTTTGTGTGTTGTGTGGTTGTGTTGTTGGTGTGTGATGTATATAGGGTGTTAGGGAAAAAAATTTGCTTCTTAAAAAATATTTTTTTTGTTAAAGTTTTTACAAAAATTGCGTTTTTGTTGGGTAAGTGGGCCAATTTCAAATTTAGGCTTGGGATTTTTGGGGAAACTGATGTCCGGGGGGAGAAATTTAAAACCCGGGCAGGGACAAGCTTTTGTGTTGGGGCTTACTTACCTTAGGCAAGCTGTATTTTTTTAAAAATTTTCACATTTTGGAAAAATTTGTATCCCCCCCCCTCTCATGGGATTTCCCCAAGGCTTGTTAAAAGGCTTTGTTTCAAGGGTGTGAGGTTTTGAATATCTGTGGGTTTGAGTGAAATTTTTAAAATTTAAAATAAATTATTAAAATCAGACTTTTAAGGTGTAAATGATAAAGTTAAAATTTTGGGAAATCCCCGTTATAAATAAATTAAAGTGGGGTTTTTATGGTGTGTCAAACCTTTCAACGTTATAACTAAATTAAGGTGGGTGATTTTGGTGTGTCAAACCTTACTTTAGTTATAAGTAACTTTAAAATGAGTTGGGTTTTAGTGGGTCTTTAAACCCCTACCAAAAAAGTTATAAGGTTTAAATTAAGGTGGGTGATATTTTGGGGATCGAAACCCCTTTTGTCAGTTTAAGTAACCCTTTAAAATGGGTGATTATTGGGGGGGTTTCCCTTAAAATCAGTTATAAGTAACTTAAGGGGGGTTTATTTTCAGGTGTATGAGCCTTCACTTTATAAATTTTTTAAAAATTTAATTAAGGGGGGGTGTTTCCCTGGGGTGTCAAACCTTCACATCAGTTAAAAAGTAACTTTAAAGGGGGGCGATACATGGTGTGTCAGACCTCCAAAAAATCAAATCATAAGGAACTTAAAGGGGTGTGATACATGGTTTTTTTCAAACCGGCCCCATTGTTGTAAGTAATTAAGGTGGGTGATACAGGTGTGTCAAACCTTTAATCAGTTGGAAGTAACTTTAAAGGGGGGTGAAAAATGGTTGTGTTTTGGGGGCCTCAACGTCGTCAAAAAAAGTTTCTTAAGGGGGGTGAACAATTTGGTTTTGTCAAACCTTCTCATCAGTTATAAATAAAATTAAAGGGGGGGTGAAATTTTTGTGTGTTTAGACCTTCACATCAGTATAAGTAACTTAAAGGGGGTGATTTCATGGTGTGTTCAGACCTTTAAACTCAGTCATAGGTAACTTAAGGTAGGTGATACATGGTGTGTCAAACCTTCACATCAGTTATAAGTAACTTAACATGGGTGATACATGGTGTGTCAAACCTTCACATCAGTTATAAGTAACTTAAGGTGGGTGATGTATGGTGTGCCAAATCTCTAGATTAGTTACAAGTAACTTAAGGTGGGTGATACATGGTGTGTCAGACCTCAACATCAGTCATAAGTAACTTAAGGTGGGTGTTACATGGTGTGTCAAACCTTCACATCTGTTATAAGTAACTTAACATGGGTGATACATGGTGTGTCAAACCTTCACATCTGTTATAAGTAACTTAAGGTGGGTGATACATGGTGTGTCAGACCTTCACATCAGTTATAAGTAACTTAAGGTGGGTGATGCATGATGTGTCAGACCTTCACATCAGTTATAAGTAACTTAAGGTGGGTGATATATGGTGTGTCAAACCTTCACATTTGTTATAAGTAACTTAAGGTGGGTGATACATGGTGTGTCAAACCCTCACATCTGTTGTAGGTAACTTAAGGTGGGTGATACATGGTGTGTCAAACCTTCACATCTGTTATAAGTAACTTAAGGTGGGTGATACATGTGTCAGACCTTCACATCAGTTATAAGTAACTTAAGGTGGGTGATACATGGTGTGTCAGACCTCAGCATCAGTCATAAGTAACTTAAGGTGGGTGATACATGGTGTGTCAGACCTTCACATGTGTTATAAGTAACTTAAGGTGGGTGATACATGGTGTGTCAGACCTCAACATTATTTAATTTCACAAATGCCATCTGTTCACGAGTCAAGAAAAATCTAATCCCCAACAGGTACTGAAATAAATTTGGAGTATACATAGCCCGAGAAACACAAGAGTATTACTTTCACTGTATATAACCCGGTTAGGTAAAGATTAGCCGGTATTCTCCCGGCCCGGGCCCTTTCCAAGTGGTTGCCCGGCCCGGGCCCTTTCCAAGTGGTGGCCCGGCCCGGGCCCTTTCCAAGTGGTGGCCCGGCCCGGGCCCTTTCCAAGTGGTGGCCCGGCCCGGGCCCTTTCCAAGTGGTGGCCCGGCCTTAGCTCCCACTTTAGGGAGTGTCTGAGACCTAAGTCTCCCATGGGAGGAGGCACAAGTACCTCCTCATCTTTGGGACCAACTGTCCCCAGGCCTAGCCACAAGCTAGGCCTCTCTGGTCTGTCATCCCCGCCCCAAGGGGACAAATGGGAATGACAGTCTTATGAGCTAAAGGCTCAGGCACCTACCCTACCCTAGAAGGGTTAGGCAGTGTCGATGTGTATAACCCGCATGAAAGGTCCCTTTTTAACCCGCTCATAATATTTGACCATCAAACTACAAAGGGACTATATTAATATTGGCTTTGTAACCAATTTTCATCAAAGGTAATACGCACATCAAAGTTAGTTTTAGATATGAAAAATGATGAGATGGAGATTTGATTACATTCAAATAGCGCGGGTAACGTAATTAATTATTATAGCCAACAGAGCAGAGTAAATAGTAGAGTATGCCCTAAAACAGTTATTTTAGTTACTGTTAGCAGTCGTTATTTCATGTATTTTTTTGGGGGGAGGGGGGAAGGGGGACTTTTATGTTTTCGAATAATTCGTGGTCTTCTAGACTTAAAATTTTTTGAATAATTGGTGGTCTTTTGGACTTTAAAGAGTCTTTGTTATTTTGGACACTAAGGTCTCAAATAAATCGTCTTTTGGACTTTTTTTTTAGACTCGTTGAAAGGTTGTCTTTTGGATTTTGGGACTCATATTGTGTTTGGACTCTCAGCTGAATCGTTTATTTTATTTTTTACGTTTTGGACTCAGATGATTCGTGGTTTTAGTTATTCTTTAGGCTCTTAAATAATTGGTGTTATCCTGGACTCTTTAAGATAAGATAAGATAAGATTTCGTTCGGATTTTTAACCCCGGAGGGTTAGCCACCCAGGATAACCCAAGAAAGTCAGTGCGTCATCGAGGACTGTCTAACTTATTTCCATTGTGGTCCTTAATCTTGTCCCCCAGGATGCGACCCACACCAGTCGACTAACACCCAGGTACCTATTTGCTGCTAGGTGAACAGGACAACAGGTGTAAGGAAACGTGTCGAAATGTTTCCACCCGCCGGGAATCGAACCCGGGCCCTCCGTGTGTGAAACGGGAGCTTTAGCCACCAGGCCACCGGGCTACCAGGCCACCAGGCCACCAGGCCACCGGGCCACCGGGCCACCAGGCCACCCAAGCCAGCCTCAAGTGAGTCTTTTTTTTGGGGGGTAGGGGGGCTTTTTTTATTTGTTAAAAAAGTTCTGGTCTTGATGGCTGTTTTAAACTTAAAACAGCAAAATAACTCTCGTTCTTGAAACATCGAGTAAGATACATATTGCTTGTTTATCTTGTTTACTTCCCTTGCTTGTCCTTACTTTCCTTGTTTACTTTTCTTATCTTTACTTTCCTTGTTTATCTTTATTTTCCTTGTTTATTTTTACTTTCCTTGTTTATTTTTACTTTCCTTGTTTATCTTTCCTTGTTTATATTTACTTCATTATCTTTACTTGTCATGTTTACTTGTTTATCTTGTTTTATTTGCATATTTACCTTGTTTACTTTCCTTGTTTACCATCGTGTAGAGGCGTTACCTACACATGGAAAATAATCATTCACCTCTGTACAGCTCCTGGAGAACGGGAGGTATTAAAGTTTGATTCGAGGAAGGGGAGGGTAGATCTGGTTCCTTGAATCAAGAGCTCATGAACAGCATCAGTGAACCCTTTTTCCCTTTAGAGGAAAAATGAACGTCTCTTGACTTTACATTGTCTGTACCGTAAATGTGTGTCTGTTCTGTACTAATGTTCTAGAATGTGTGGTAGGTTTGAGAGAGAGAGAGAGAGAGACAGAGAGAGAGAGAGGGAGAGAGGGAGGGAGTAGGTAACAGCTCTTTACTTTAAAATATAGATGGGAAATCTTAATCTAACCCAGTAGAAACCCTTGTGTAAGAGAGAGATGGGAGAATGGTTTGCTAATAGTAACGTATTATTATCACTCTTAACACTACAGTAAACGACACAGTAGCAAAAGCAGCGATACAAACAGTTCTCTTGATCATTCTTTGGCAAAAAAGCTCTTTATAACAGCAAAGTGTTGGAACTGGAACGGTATATGAATACCAACCAGGAGGAATAACTAACACTTTTGTGCGGTGTATACTTTTGTTAAAGACAGTGTGTCGTCACCTTCATAACGTAGGGTTCGATATGCCTTAAGTTGTTAGTGGCCCTGCAGGTCATAACAAGAAACTCACATGGTGTTAAAGCTCGATACGGCGTAAGTTGTTAATGGCGCTATGAACCATAACAAGAAACCTCATACGGTGCTCGATACGGCGTAAGTTGTTAATGGCGCTATGAACCATAACAAGAAACCTCATACGGTGCTCGATACGGCGTAAGTTGTTAATGGCGCTATGAACCATAACAAGAAACCTCATACGGTGCTCGATACGGCGTAAGTTGTTAATGGCGCTATGAACCATAACAAGAAACCTCATACGGTGCTCGGTACGGCGTAAGTTGTCAATCGCCATGTAAGTCATAGCAAGAAGCTCGCACTGTGTAATTCTCTATACTCTCTTCTGTCGCCCTATAAACCATAACAAGTCCACATGATGTAAGGTTCGCTGTCATAGCCTGTTATACCACAAGAGGATCAGTTTGCTTAAATTGATACAGCACACTGTGAGGGCTAAAACTTGTCGTTAATAAAGGTCTCCGCTACTTCTAAGTATTATTTATTTCAGTAACGTGTACTGAGAGGTAGAACAAGGCAGTGAAGGAGACTATCAGGACTTGTTGAGGCAATGAGGGACGCCGCTGGGGTGCTGCAGTTGCTGGGTCCGTCGCAGTTTCTCCATGTTCTCCAGCAGGAGGGAGTTTGAGGGTTCCTGTCCATGGGCCGTCAAGTAGTGTCTCCAGGCTCGACCATAGTCACCCTGCAATGAAGACATGCTCACAGAACTCACGAAATCGAAATAACACGACTGCAAAAATCACAGCACGGTTCAAGACCCACCCGTTCCTTGGTTAATGTACTCGCATAGTTAACCAAATGTATTACACGAAGCTTACCTATAAAAATATCCTACTTAGCGCATTTTTTGTGAATACAATTGAAAACGTGGATACAAAATTGAATAGCTTATTACTGAAGCCTTTTTACGTGCTATTTAATTCTCTATACGCTTTTTTCAATAACATTCACAAAAAATGCACTATAGAGAGGAGCTTTATAAAGGAACTGACTCTGTTGTTAGTACTTACAAAGTAGATGTGTTGTAAGTCAGTGGTGTGCGATCGGAGATACGTGCCCCTTGTAGTCCCGGGGTCTTGTACCTCGATGATTCGACAGGTACCCTCGTATTCCCAGGTCCTTTTACCTCAATGATTCGACAGGTAACCCTCGTATTCCCAGGTCTTTATACCTCAATGATTCGATAGGTATCCTTCGTAGTCCCAAGTCTTTGTACCTTAATAATTCGACAGTTATCCCTCGTAGTCCCAGGTCTTTGTACCTCAATGATTCGACAGGTATCCCTCGTATTCCAAGGTTTTTATACCTCAATGATTAGATAGGTATCCCTTGTAGTCCCAGGTCTTTGTACCTTAATAATTAGACAGGTATCCCTCATAGTCCCAGGTCTTTGTACTTTAATAATTAGACAGGTATCCCTCATAGTCCCAGGTCTTTGTACCTCAATGATTCGACAGGTATCCCCCGTATCCCTTAAATCCAATCCCGTCTACCTCATCTTAAACAAGAGGTATAATATAGTATACAGATTAGCTGCTTTCATTATGTTTAGGATATCTATAAGGATAACATCATCTAAGGATAACTAAGGATATCATCTTAGGATACCCGAATGGATATATAATGTCTGTGTACATTATATATCCATGGGGTGTACATTATACATGATGGGGGAAATTAACTGCATACATGACTTTGATATTTAAATGATTGACGTATCTGAGTGTAGCACTTACCAGAGTGTAGTATCTGAGTGTAGTACTTACCAGAGTGTAGTATCTGAGTGTGCAATTACCAGAGTGTAGTACCCTGAGTGTAGCACTTACCAGAGTGTAGTATCTGAGTGTAGAAATTTACCAGAGTGTAGTATCTGAGTGTAGCACTTACCAGAGTGTAGTATCTGAGTGTAGCACTTACCAGAGTGTAGTATCTGAGTGTAGTACTTACCAGAGTGTAGTATCTGAGTGTAGCAATTACCAGAGTGTAGTATCTGAGTGTAGCACTTACCAGAGTGTAGTATCTGAGTGTAGCAATTACCAGAGTGTAGTATCTGAGTGTACATTACCAGAGTGTAGTATCTAAAGTGTAGCAATTACCAGAGTGTAGTATCTGAGTGTAGCAATTACCAGAGTGTAGTATCTGAGTGTAGCACTTACCAGAGTGTTATATATGAGTGTAGCACTTACCAGAGTGTAGTATCTGAGTGTAGCACTTACCAGAGTGTAGTATCTGAGTGTAGCACTTACCAGAGTGTAGTATCTGAGTGTAGCACTTACCAGAGTGTAGTATCTGAGTGTAGCACTTACCAGAGTTTAGTATCTGAGTGAGCACTTACCAAGTGTAGTATCGAGTGTAGCACTTACCAGAGTGTAATATCAGAGTGTAGCACTTACCAAGTGTTTATATATGAGTGTAGAACTTACCAGAGTGTAGTATCTGAGTGAAGCACTTACCAGAGTGTAGTATCTGAGTGTAGCACTTACCAGAGTGTAGTATCTGAGTGTAGCACTTACCAGAGTCTTATATCTGAGTGTAGCACTTACCAGAGTGAAATATCAGAGTGTAGCACTTACCAGAGTGTAATATCTGAGTGTAGCACTTACCAGAGTGTAGTATCTGAGTGTAGCACTTACCAGAGTGTAGTATCTGAGTGTAGCACTTACCAGAGTCTTATATCTGAGTGTAGCACTTACCAGAGTGTAATATCAGAGTGTAGCACTTACCAGAGTGTAGTATCTGAGTGTAGCACTTTTCCAGAGTGTAGTATCAGAGTGTAGCACTTACCAGAGTGTAGTATCTGAGTGTAGCACTTACCAGTGTGTAGTATCTGAGTGTAGCAATTACCAGAGTGTAATATCAGAGTGTAGCACTTACCAGAGTGTAGTATCTGAGTGTAGCACTTTTCCAGAGTGTAGTATCAGAGTGTAGCACTTACCACAGTGTAGTACTGATGTAGCACTTCCCAAATGTGTAGTATCTGAGTGTAGCATTACCAGAGGGGTAGTATCAGAGTGTAGCACTTACCAGAGTGTAGTATCTGAGTGTAGCACTTACTGGAGCGTAGTATCTGAGTGTAGCACTTACCAGAGTGTAGTATCTGAGTGTAGCTCTTACCAGAGTGTAGTATCTGAGTGTATCACTTACCAGAGTGTAGTATCTGAGTGTATCACTTACCAGAGTGTTATATCTGAGTGTAGCACTTACCAGAGTGTAGTATCTGAGTGTAGCACTTACCAGAGTGTAGTATCTAAACTGTAGCACTTCCCAGAGGTAATATCTAAAGTGTACACTTACCGAGTGTAATATCTGATGTAGCACTTACCAGAGTGTAGTATCTGAGTGTAGCACTTACCAGAGTGTAGTATCTGAGTGTAGCACTTACCAGAGTGTAGTATCTGAGTGTAGCACTTACCAGAGTGTAGTATCTGAGTGTAGCACTTACCAGAGTGTAGTATCTGAGTGTAGCACTTACCAGAGTGTAGTATCTGAGTGTAGCACTTACCAGAGTGTAGTATCTGAGTGTAGCACTTATCATGTGGGGTTCGAACACGTGGATAGGGTAAAGTAATACTCACATAGGCTGGTAGTACGTATAATTACGGATAATGTGGGAAGCGCCCAGACAGCCGTGACCTACCTCCTTGCTCACTCTCGAATAACTGACTGGCCGCCCACAGTACCCATATGTGAGGGGGTCTTTGAATACTGCTGTGGTCAGCACAATATGAATACAGACAGTGACTCAGGCAGAGACAGTTGGTAGTGAGTCATCTACTGGTACACTGGTAACTGGTTACTACTACTGAGAGCTCGCTTACAATGTTTCTATAGGTGACACTCCACATTATGCATTGTACGGTGTAGATAAACGTTTGCCTTATGAGTTGTTATATTCTAATCCGAAACCAAATTACAACCCTGATGATTTCATAGCAACTCGTACCAGCTTAGCTCAAAGTGTTTTTAGAAGAATCCGTGAAACACTTCATTAATCAACAGCAGAATTTACAAGAGTCGCAAACACTCGAGCAAAGTCATCTACTGGTACACTGGTTACTGGTAACTGGTTACTACTACTGAGACACTTACCAGAGTGTAGTATCTGAGTGTAGCACTTACCAGAGTGTAGTATCTGAGTGTGGCACTTACCAGAGTGTAGTATCTGAGTGTAGCACTTACCAGAGTGTAGTATCTGAGTGTAGCACTTACCAGAGTGTAGTATCTGACTGTAGCACTTACCAGAGTGTAACATCTGAGTGTATCACTTACCAGAGTGTAGTATCCGAGTGTATCACTTACCAGAGTGTAGTATCCGAGTGTATCACTTACCAGAGTGTAGTATCCGAGTGTATCACTTACCAGAGTGTAGTATCTGAGTGTAGCACTTACCAGAGTGTTATATCTGAGTGTATCACTTACCAGAGCGTAGTATCTGAGTGTAGCACTTACCAGAGCGTAGTATCTGGGTGTATCACTTACCAGAGTGTAGTATCAGAGTGTAGCACTTACCAGAGTGTAGTATCTGAGTGTAGCACTTACCAGAGTGTAGTATCTGAGTGTAGCTCTTACCAGAGTGTAGTATCTGAGTGTATCACTTACCAGAGTGTAGTATCTGATTGTATCACTTACCAGAGTGTTATATCTGAGTGTAGCACTTACCAGAGTGTAGTAACTGAGTGTAGCACTTACCAGAGTGTAGTATCTGAGTGTAGCACTTACCAGAGCGTAGTATCTGAGTGTAGCACTTACCAGAGTGTAGTATCTGAGTGTAGCTCTTACCAGAGTGTAGTATCTGAGTGTATCACTTACCAGAGTGTAGTATCTGATTGTATCACTTACCAGAGTGTTATATCTGAGTGTATCACTTACCAGAGTGTAGTATCTGACTGTAGCACTTACCAGAGTGTAATACCTGAGTGTAGCACTTACCAGAGTGTAGTATCAGTGTAGCACTTACCAGAGTGTAGTATCTGAGTGTAGCACTTACCAGAGTGTAGTATCTGAGTGTAGCACTTACCAGAGTGTAGTATCTGAGTGTAGCACTTTTCCAGAGTGTAGTATTAGAGTGAAGCACTTACCAGAGTGTAGTATCTGAGTGTAACACTTACCAGAGTGTAGTATCTGAGTGAAGCACTTACCAGAGCGTAGTATCTGACTGTAGCACTTACCAGAGTGTAGTATCAGAGTGAAGCACTTACCAGAGTGTAGTATCTGAGTGTAGCACTTACCAGAGTGTAGTATCTGAGTGTAGCACTTACCAGAGCGTAGTATCTGACTGTAGCACTTACCAGAGTGTAGTATCTGAGTGTATCACTTACCAGAGTGTTATATCTGAGTGTAGCACTTACCAGAGTGTAGTATCTGAGTGTAGCACTTACCAGAGTGTAGTATCTGACTGTAGCACTTACCAGAGTGTAATATCTGAGTGTAGCACTTACCAGAGTGTAATATCAGAGGTAGCCACTTACCAATGTAGTATCTAGTGTAGCACTTACCAGAGTGTAGTATCTGAGTGGGAGCACTTACCCCGAGTGTAGTACTGAAATGTAGCACTTACCAGAGTGTAGTATCTGATGTAGCACTTACCAGAGTGTAGTATCTGAGTGTAGCACTTACCAGAGGTAGTATCTGAGTGTAGCACTTTTCCAGAGTGTAGTATCTGGTGATCACTTACCAGAGCGTAGTATCTGAGTGTAGCACTTACCAGAGTGTAGTATCTGAGTGTAGCACTTACCAGAGTGTAGTATCTGAGTGTAGCACTTACCAGAGTGTAGTATCAGAGTGTAGCACTTACCAGAGTGTAGTACTGAGTGTAGCACTTACCAAGTGAGTATCTGATGTAGCACTTACCAGAGTGGTATTTGAGTGTACACTTACCAAAGTGTAGTATCTGGTGTATCACTTACCAGAGTGTAGTATCAAGTGAAGCACTTACCAAAAGTTTGTATCAGAGTGTAGCACTTACCAGAGTGTAGTATCTGAGTGTAGCACTTAAACCCGAGTGTAGTATCTGAGTGTAGCACTTACCAAGTGTAGTATCTGAGTGTAGCACTTACCCGAGTGTAATATTTTGAGTGTAGCAAATTACCAGAGTGTAGTATCTGAGTGTAGCACTTACCAAGTGTAGTATCTGAGTGTAGCCCCTTACCAAGTGTAGTATCTGAGTGTAGCACTTACCAGAGTGTAATATCTGAGTGTAGCACTTACCAGAGTGTAGTATCTGAGTGTAGCACTTACCAGAGTGTAGTATCTGAGTGTAGCAATTACCAGAGTGTATTATATAGGTGTGATATGAGAGTGTAGCTGACACCTGAGTGTGATATGTAAGTATAGCACTCACCCAAGTGTGAAATGAGTGTAGCACTCACCTAAGTATAATACTCACCTGGGTATGATACAGGGCACCTAGATTCACGTGGGCATGGGTCAGTGTAGGTTCCAGTTCCACCGCCAGCAGGTAACTCTATACACATATACCAAAAAAATAATTATTAATTTTTCGTTTCTCAAAATTTGCAATGCCATAATTAAAGTCAATTATTTTTCTACATACAGTAATTATAAATGTCGTTTTGTATCAGTTTTTTCACAGATTTTTTAAAAGATGTATTTTTTTCAGTGGATATACACTGCAAGTTTACGTTGTGACCCAGAAGTGTGTGGTCACACATTTGGGTCACCCTGTATTTTAATTTAGGTATTAAAGTGTTCTTGACTGGTGGTGGATAGGTTATGTGCAGCCTTAATGATCCTCGTGTGGTAGATAGGCTTTAAACCCCATTAACCATTGTAGAATAATAGGATTGATA